GGGCCATGCTTTTGGACCAGGTTATCGGCCGGTTTATGGTGGCATCGCGCGTCATGTTCATGCCGAATTCCCGCTTCGTATGTAATAATTTTCGCAGTCGCCGTGTCTCACCATCATCATCATCGGGCACTTTTTGGGGAGTGCATCATTATGCTCGTGGCATGCATTATACTTAACCGATATGTGCCTTATGTTAATGTTGTTATAATGTGCGGCTACTTGTTGGGCCAAAATGGGTTGGGGTTTGCCTTGCTGCACGCCGCCAGATTGAAAGTGTTATAGTTATAGGCTTTTGGAAGAAAATGTTTAATTTTTTTTAAGATTTATTAAAGTTTAAGTAGGAGAGTTTGATAGCTAAAAAGACAACGTTTTCATCATGAATCCACAAAATTTAAATTTGTTTGACAGTTCTTCAATAACTTTAAAGTCCTCATATTTTCTCCTCAGATAATTTTTGTTGCCTGATAAGAAAATAAATTTCTCTTGCCGTAATTAAGTACTTGGTTCAGTTACAAGCTTGTAAGGATGAGTATGTAGTATTTTTGGATATGTCTGAGCCCTCCGACCACCTATAATTCAATAATTCAACAAACATAATTCAGACATTTCAATTGCTTCTCGTTTTTACGTTGTCCGGGTGGCATTTAAGGTTGTAAAATTTATTTACAACAGCAAGAGGTTCGCCCTGCGTTTCGTTAATCAAACATAATGTCCTGCAGCATCGATGGAGAGAAAACTTTCATTTGCCAAGCAAGACCTTAAACAAAAACCCCAAGGGGCCAACAACCCACACGCACTTTCATTGGGATCGGGATTGGTATTGAGATTGGTATTGGGATTGGAAACTGAACCAAAACTGAACCGAAGATCGCCACAGATCCGTGACAGAGTCTTCTCTGGCAATAATAAAAACGCTCGATTGTAATTTTCCCTCTGCAATTATTGTCTCAGCTTTCAAATGCGGTAGGCCTCGAAAGTTTTCAAGATCTGAACGTTGGAGAGGGACTGGGCCAAAAGTAATTTTCAATTTTAACAGCCAGAGCATAAAATATAAAGCACAACTTGCAGCACACACTTGTTAATGCCACACGTTGGGGCAAGTGATTCTTCTTCAGATGTGTGCACTCGGGAAATAAATCTTACAATATTTTTAAATTTTGGTTTTGGTTTAAAAATGTATCTAATTTTACCGAAACAAAATGTATTCTTAATTTTTTACATTCAACGATTAATCGGAATATTTTCTAAAATATTTTCGTAATTAAGTTAAATATTTTTTTAAGTGCCAACTTTTGTCGCTTTTTGCTGCGTGTCCTGCAAAAACGAGGGAATTACAAAAGTTTTTCATGTCTTCAGACAAATCTCATTAAAAGGCGTCGCGTCTTCGTGTTGAGCCCGCAAGGAGTCGAGTTCTCGAATCGGCGTCGGAGTTGGAGTCGAAGTCCATGTCCATGTCCAAGTCCATCCAGAAATCGTGGCCCAGTCATCGGCCGACTTGTGGTTGTGACCCTTTTTCCCTTTTTTCCAGGCGAGAGGCGTTGCATTTAAAATGTCGTTAATAATTTGTTGCTCGCCGCTCCAGAGCCAGGCCAAAACCGAGGTCCGAACCAGTCCGGAACCCTGAAACCCAGGAACCCTTTTCTGGCCGCGCTGTATATCTGCTTTTTAGAGCTTGTCGTAAAAAAGTTTTATTATTTTTGTTTCATTTTCATTGCCTCCAAAATAGGATTAGCCTGTTGCGGCTTGGCCTCTTTTTGCGTCTTGTTTTTTATTTAATTTTGCTTGGGTATTTCTTTTGTTTTGGTGCTCGTGTCTGGGATGTTGCAATATCCAAAAATCGCTTAAATATCACCATTTTACACGCTTTCAAAATGTTATGGCAGGGATGCGTATTGGCTTCGATTCTGAAATGAAGTCTGCGGTTTGCTTATTTGGGTCACCTATTTACAAGTTCCGTGATTGATTTTCGACATCGACAGTGCAGGGTCTTCAAATATCCAAATGGTGTTCGTAGTTGAATAAGAAAAGTTTATTTAATTTCTAGGATTATTGATTAATAACATTGTATTAATGATTGTATGTTTAATATTTGCAGTTAGCGGATCCTTTTAACCAAGTTGGAACTAAAAACCATCCAAAATATTGTTTTATTTTTAACTAAATGTCCCAAACCTTCGATAAAATCATTTTTGTCTTATTACCAAGCCAAAAATGATCGGAGTTTTTTTTTTTTGGCTGTGTGACTTATTTTGACTGATTTATAACCATAAAGCCAAAAAAATATAGAGATTTGCTATACAAAGTTGTAACCTTGATACTTATTTTACTCCTTTCTATGTTTTAATTTTTTTTGATTTTATCAAATAATTTAATTGGATCAAAATAATTAGCAACTATCACTTGCCGACGTAGAATTGCCAGCAATAAACCCGTTCAAGTGTGATTTAAGACCGTCAACAAAAGCAAACTAATTAACTTGCACAGCGGCCGAATGGCGGTGGGTGGTCTTCTTCCCGATCCACTCCCGACCACTTTTACTCCGGCTAGACCCAAGAACGAAAGAAATTAGTTAACAAGATCATTAAATCTTTGTTAACAGGCTATCAGGCAGAGACAGCGACAACGGAGACTCCGTCTTCCAGACTTCCAAGTGGAATTAGAGGAGACGTCATGGGCAGTTTGGCCATATAACCGCAGCCCAGCCAACGACGTGCGATAAGATAAGAGATGCCCAGACCCTGGGACTCAATGTGGTCTCAATACCCAGTCCCAAAATACCTGGACATGGCATGTAAATCAGAGTACGTGGCCAAGATCAAATAGAGTGGCAAAATAGCTGATATTTTAGCTAAAAATAGCTGAGAGGGATTTTTGGAAAATTATAAACGAAATTTGAGACTATAAATATTTCTCTAAGTTTCTTAACTTACGAAATGCGACTTTTTGTATCTGATATGATAATTAATCTAATTAGCTATTTAAACAAGCCAAATACGTTTAATTCTGGAGTGATTCAGACAAGTATCCTTATAGAGTTAGTAGACTAAACAATCAGCTAAAATATCTCCACATGGCCAGCACTGCCTGCCAAGCCCGAACCTGTCTCTAGAATTGCACATGTTTATCTATTAATTTATGCTGGCGGTTTTTGGGTTCCTCGTTTGGCAATCTCAGTGGGATCGCACTTGTGCCCGGATAGTCTGCTTCCTGGGAATTCCTGTTAGTTGCTAAATGTGGAGTGGGTCTGCATCTGGATCTCAAATCCTCTGGCACAGCAGTCGCCCTGCCACAGGGACAAATGCTTGATAAGAACGCTAATTAAGTTAAATGCCAACTGTGTGTGGTTCTACACTGAGAATAAATGGTATTATGTAATCTATTCTAATACATATTTAAATTTTAACGAACAAGAATAGTTACGAAAGTATTAGGGGCTCTATAACTTATGATTAAGTTATAAGCTGAGATAAACCACGCAAACTATCAAAATACATATTTTAAAGATCCATTTTCTAGTGTAGCAGCAGTGATTCCTGGAAAGTGGTCAAAAATTGGCACTGGCCTCCTGCGTGGTTTGGTTCTTATTGATTTATGTCCTGCAATTGGAGGTGCAACACCTCTAATCTTATCTCTTGAGTGAACACTTTCGCTGTGTTTGTTTGTTTGTTTTGATGTTGTTGCCGCACATCTGCCACTTGATGGTGTAAGTGTGCGGGTGTTTGTGTGTGGCATTTTCCACTTGAGGACCTCAACATGCTCCTTAATTGCTAGCATGCTCTCTTCTACAACGATCCAATCCCTCCCACAAATCCCAAAAAATCCATAAATAGATTTGAGTCGTTTCTTTGGCGCCTCGTAAAACTTGGAGCCCAAAGAGAACGCATTAAGAGCGCCAACGAAACAAAATGGAAATGGAACGGTTAGAAAAGAGTGTTTGAGTTAAAGAGTATGTTATTTTATTGCTCTTTTCAGGAGAAGAGACTGATCAATTATGTTTTATCTTGTCTCTTGTGCTTGTATTAAAAATAAATACATTAACATTATATAGTGGAATATCTGATATAAAACGGGATTTAATAAAGATTTCAATTTTATTTGTTTCGATTTTTTAAGAATTAGTAAATTGGAAAATAAAAATTAAACAAGAGAACAGAACAGAATCATGAAATTATTTTCCTTTTCAATAGCTTATAAATATGACTTAAATTTAGGACATCGATGTGTTTGTTTTATTGGACTAATTTATGTAAACGATCACAACAATCTATGAACGTGAACTAAGTTGGAGTTACTTTGCCTTATATTCATTTTACACGCGTACCTTTGTCTTACCTGTAAAAGTTGTTTTCCTGTAGCTGGCAACTGCCTCACTTCTTTGAGGGTGCATATAAAAAACAGTTCATTAATGCATATTCCTACCTGGCATTCAATCTAATACCCTCTGCCATTTGAAATGCATTTGACCTACCTGGTGATGTTTTTTTCGCGTTTCATTTATAAGGTCAACTAATGATGCACCTGATAATGATAATGAGGCAAAAATAAACCCTCCTTCTTTTAATCCTGTCCAAGTGGGGTTTTTCCGAATTTCTTTGTAAAACTGTAGGTAAGATCTCCTTATTGCGCATTGAATTCAGAGAGAGGGAGAGGAAGAGAGAGCGCAGATGCAGAGAGCATAACTAACACAGGTAAGCATCTCGTTTTATATAGCCCACACCAGTGCAATTATAACGGCATCGCTTCGTTTGCGGCTTCGATTGGTGCAAGTGTACGAAGTCGGCACGTGAGGCATTCGTACATAAACAAGACGAAACCTGTTTGCTAGCCGAACGCTGCGATTGGTCGAGTTGGCTACCTGCATAAACATGCACGCTCTCACCGGAGAGCTCTCTTGCATGCTCTCTTCTCGATTGCTTCGTGTTCGGAACCGAAGTTTGCCGAACCAAGGGCAGTATAAAAAGCGTGCACCACCGCCAAACTCGCTCAGTTCTTCTCAGACTCTAACCGATTGACATAACCAGCTCTCTAAAAACTGAACATACCCAAAACATAACCGATACCCAATCGCTTCGCCTAACGGAACACGCGCTTTGTATCTGTGTATCAACCGAATATTTGTGCCTGTGTGAACATGAGGACACACTAAACAAAAAGTGACAAAAATCGATAACTTTTAACTAAAACTCTTAAAAACTAAAAACAAAAAGCCAGTAAAATGCATTCCGTGGAAGACATGTTGGTGGAGAAAAACTACAGCAAGTGCCCGCTGAAAAAGCGCCCGGTTAATTACCAATTCGAGGCGCCACAAAATCACAATAATACCCCGAATGAACCGCAGGATCTGTGCGTGAAGAAAATGGAAATCTTGGAAGATAATCCCTCCGAGGAGCTGATCAATGTCAGCGATTGCTGTGAGGACGAGGGTGTAGATGTTGATCACACCGATGATGAACATATCGAAGAGGAGGATGAGGACATCGACGTCGATGTGGATTCCGATCCTAACCAGACACAGGCAGCGGCTCTGGCTGCTGCAGCTGCCGTGGCCGCCGCTGCTGCCGCCTCCGTGGTAGTACCCACACCCACTTACCCTAAATATCCCTGGAACTTTCACATGTCCCCGTACACCGCCGAATTCTACAGGACCATCAACCAGCCCGGTCATCAAATTTCACCACTCCGTGGCGATATCATTGCACCCAGTTCGCCGAGTGATTCGCTGGGTTCCCTGTCGCCGCCACCACACCACTATCTTCATGGCCGCGCAAGCTCCGTTTCTCCGCCAATGCGATCGGAAATCATCCACAGACCCATTGGCGTACGCCAGCACCGTTTCCTGCCCTATCCACCCATGGCCGGCTATCCCAATCTCGGTGGATATACCCATCATCATCATGCTCCGATTTCGCCGGCCTACTCGGAGAGCTCCTACTACTCCATGCGCTCGATGACACCGGAATCCAGCTGCAGTTCCTCGCTTCCGGAAGACTTATCCCTTAAGCACAAGAACCTGAATGTGAAGACTAGCCAGCCCGCAGAACTGGTGGCAGCGAAGGCAGGGGAAATCTCGACAAGCCCGATCGCCTCTGCCAAAAAGGACAAGAGCCAGCCACCGCGTTACCAATGTCCGGATTGCCAGAAATCATACTCCACCTTCTCGGGGCTGACCAAGCACCAGCAGTTCCATTGTCCCGCCGCTGAGGGCAACCAGGTGAAGAAGTCCTTCAGCTGTAAGGATTGCGACAAGACCTATGTTTCTTTGGGAGCTCTGAAGATGCACATTCGCACCCATACGCTGCCCTGCAAGTGCAATCTGTGCGGAAAGGCCTTCTCCCGACCATGGCTCCTGCAAGGACACATTCGCACCCATACGGGCGAGAAACCCTTCAGCTGCCAGCATTGCCACCGGGCCTTTGCTGATCGCTCGAATCTGCGAGCCCATCTGCAGACCCACTCGGACATCAAGAAGTACTCCTGCACCAGTTGCTCGAAAACCTTTTCGAGGATGTCCCTCCTAACCAAACACTCAGAGGGCGGCTGTCCTGGAGGCAACGCCGGATCCTCCAGCAGTGAACTCAACTACGCCGGCTATGCCGAGCCCTAAGGCGATCTTAGATAGGCTGTATATATATAGCTGAGATCCCAGCCATGTTCCACCAAAAATTAGTTCCTAGCTCTCTTAGGCGGCTCCAAGTTCCCGAAACTCCCAGTGCAGACACACAACTTCAAGCAGAATTTCACTTATTTTTATTTTCTAGTCAGCATTTTCTCTTCGCAAAGAATGAGAAAATTAAAAATTACATTTTAATTTGTATCCCCCCACAAAGTACTTTTGTAACACTCCCAAAATTTGTATAATTTGATCCATACTAGATTGTGTGCCCATTATCCTAAAGATGAACTTTGTAAAGTATTCTACGATTTATCCTGTACATAATGTATTATGTCTAACTGTAGACTCTAAGCTGAACAAATGAAACGCCAGACAATCGTATGCAAGACATAAAACATCTCTCTATTTTTATATATATATATATACTATATAGTATTTTTAGCCTAGCTTTAGATCGTATAATATTTTTGATATGACCACTACTTTTTCGCATATACATTGAAAATGTTCTACTTTAGGCTAAGTCAGGTTAAGCGGACAACACATATTTTGATACGAAAATGTTTTGTAATTCTAAGTAATTTATTGCATCAAGCGCAGAAAGAGGAAAATACATTTTATTTACATACGAAAAGAACTTGAAAATGATTTTATTTGATGGGTTTTGGGTTGGGTTTTTCGTTTATTTCAGGATTACTTACTTCAGAGATCAATTTGAAGATGTCAGAAATGGCAATTACACTCTAATGTTTTTATATTCCCAGAATTATGAAATGATGAATGAATTATGAAATTATGAAAGATAATCTAAATTGGCCTTAATAAAGTTTAAGGATTGCGAGCTAAAACTATTTCGTTTAATATATAGATGATTGATTTTCAATATCAAAAACCTCATAAAAATTATTTTAAACTATTTTCATAAATTCATTTCACTTATTAAATTCTTACAAATAAATTATTATTTTTAATAATGTATTAAAAAAATATTAAATATAAATATAAACACTCTTGATTGGATGCTTAGGCCACATTTTATATTATCCAAATTCTATTAAAAGTCAAAACCACTTCCGGCAGAAAGTTCAATGGAATCTAGAAGAATCGTGAATGTCTTCCAAAAAAAGTTCTCAACATATTCCCCGAATTCCGTCTCCTCTTTTTGGGTCATGCTCTTCTTTTCGAACAAACAAACAAATCGAAGCGAGTGGATCGGAAAATGAGAGGCCCCAATCAGCCATTTGCGACATTTTATGGCCTGCCATGGCAAAAGCAAACACAAGGCGCATTTTATATGCCAAGCTGATCATAAATTATTTTTAAATTTCGGTACACGTACGACGAGTACAAAATGGCAGTCACTAAATCAAAAGCCAAACTTCAAGCCTCAGTAAGTCCGCGCCCCGGCCAAAAAAAGTCTTATTAGACATGTGCCCCCATCTTAATGAGAGAGCAGTGAAAATAGAGTCTTGGCCCGGAGATCACCAAGTGTGATCGATGCATCGCCGTATCCAGCGAAGCGGAAAAGCGCGGGGAAATCATAATCGTCGGGAAGGTATCGTTCGGGTGACAGAGCATATGAAATTATGGGTGCGTCCTCTGAACGCCAAACGAAACGAAACGAAACTCATTATCGAGATCAATCGATCGCCAGGCGGAGGAGAGCCTGCTCCAAAAGGCCCAGAAAGAGTTAACACATATGTGTGTGCGGGATTGGGGATCCCGCCGATCCAGTCGTTCCACGATCATTGGCATCAGCGATCGACGACCACGACAATTGTTGCCAAATTAGATCATCAGGCAGCTAGAAAACCAGCGAAACCCAAACAGCAACGGCAGCAACAAGTCTCAGTCGAGTTTCACGTGTGTACACTGAAAAAGAAAATGTGTGATATGGGTTAGTAAAATACGGAACTTAAATATTGAATACCTTTAGGTATGATAATTGTTTATTCTTAATCATAAATAAGTAATCTTTTAAATTTGTTATCAACTTGAAGCTGTGTGCACTTTTTCCAAGTGCATAGAGAGATCCAGGCCCAATCCTAAAGATCAGGCCAACGTAAATATACGAAAATTAATATGCACGCATTTCGTGGCTCCACTTCCTCCACAGCCGTTTGCTCTAGTCTCGGGTTACCAGCCCAGCCTGCAGATCCACTGGGTCCAAGATCCCAGACTCCAGCTTACTAAGACCCAAAAACCGAGTCCCAGCTCGTTGATCCCTGCTCTGCTCTCAAAACGACGATCGTTCGTGCCAGCTTTCTGGCTAAACAATTTGCAAACGATTTCTAATAAGCGTCTTAAATTGTAACAAAATAGACGCGCATTTAGGGCCTTTTGTGTGCCTTCGCCTGGGTTTCTGGCTCGCTCGATAACAAAGATCGACGGTATATAAAAAAAAGAAACTAGAAAAATGAAATAAAAAATAGCCCAAAACATGGACAGCAACAAAACAGGAGGGTAACTGCCTCGCTTGACCCTCTCCCTACCCAAAAAAAGGCAACCCATTGGGTCTTTATTTTTGATTATTTTATTTTATTTGTGCCAAATTTCGCGCTTGATCGGTGCATTTTTATTTTTTTATTTTTTACTTAGCTTTTCGACTGTGGGTAGCGGGTCCAGTTGGGGTTACTATGATGAAGATCTTTGGGTTAGGCCGTCGACAATTTGACTGATTTTGGGGACCCCAGCTTTTGGTGACTTATTTATGGCAAATGAATATTCTGCCGTTTGCTTGTGGGAAAATATTCAATCGTTCGTCTTGGCAGGGTTCAATGAACTGAAGGATTTTTTGTATGATAAGTTGATAGATTTGGTTACTTTTTAGTTAATTCAGTCGGAGTAACTTATTTGTTTTATACTACTAAACATATTACCTTGATTCGGTTAATTTTACATTTTTTTATTTCACTTAGGAAAAGAACTCCGATCCCGAAAAACAGTTTCACTTTGGAGATACGAAAAGGTATCTAATACTTTCATGATCCTTAAACTGATATACCCAACCCGCAGTACTTCCCAGCATCCATTTCAATTCGTTAACAATAAACAAATATCACTTTCCTGACGTTTTTCGCAACTGCAGCTGTCTGTCTGGTCTTCCACCTTTCGCGGTAACCTCATAGCTCCCCCTTGCGATACCCCGCCACTTGGTGTCACTGATAAAACCTGAGGATTTTGGCCAGGAAAAAATAGAAGTGAGCTGCACCATAATAAAGCAGCTAAAAGTCAAACGACAACGCAGAAAGGTAAACAGATCGAAGCTTTATGAATATGCAAAGATAAACAACGCGGAGGAGCCTCCCCCTGCAACCACCCACCAACCTGCGTCACCCTTTTGTCTATTTGTCTATTGAATAAAAAAACACTTTTTTTGAATTTCAAATTTTTTAACGAGCCAAAATGAAAAACTTTCCAAACAAAAGGCAAAATACACACACACACACAAATACAGTCGATCGATCCAGAGCAGAAAGAGAGGAGTATAGACGGGTTAGAGGAAGAGGAAGAGGGAGGCAAGCGACAAAAAAGCGCACACTGAAATGAAATTTAGCGTAAAAATGGAGATCTTTTGTCTGCGATAAACGTGAGCGTTTTGTTTGTCACGACGAGACGAAGTGTGCTTTTTTGCGCGATTGCTAAAGTCGGATTTGGAATCGAAATAACCCCTTTTGTAATGTTATAGAAGGGTGGAAATATTTAAAAAAATATTAAGTAAGTGGTTTTTAATCATCGTCGAATTGGTACAGTCAAAGGTAAAATCAAAGGTATTTAAATCCCTAACTAAGAGATAAAATAATTTCCCATTTTAATTTAACATACTCGTACTCTTAAACCCCCAGGAAAAGCTGTCATAAGGCAAATCTCATTGTTCCAAAGATAACAGAGACAGATGCACGAAATGCAGAAAAAGAGCTTGCTATCCTTCTCTCACACTCACCTTCCCCTTTCCACCTTTGCATTTCTTTGACAATTTCAGCTAATTTGTGTGAGCGAACAACAACAGCGCAAGTGTTTTCTGTTATTTTTTTTTTTTTTGTTGATGCCTATTCCATTTGCTTCAGCAAGACCAAGAGAGATGGAGATATGTTGGGGCTATGGTGTATCTGTGAGTGTAAGTGTAATGGTGAGTGCGTGAGTTGCAAGACAACGATATCATCTTCAAATGCGAGAATGAGAGGGGCGAGTTAGGTTCAAAGTTGTTGTTGCTTCAGCCAATTAGTTAGTGGCTCTGCGTGCTCCAAAAGTGGGTGGTAAGAAGGGAGTGTAGTGGGTTGGGGAGGGGCAACAGGTGAGAAGGAGACTGCGCATAGACCGGGCACAACAATTGCGGCAGGCAAAACAGCAGTTAACGCGTTTTATTGTCTGTTTGCAAGTGGCCACTGTTGGCCTCTCTTTTACTCCGCCCCCTTTCTTCCTTCTCAAGTTTGTTTGCTCGAAGGTGATGTTAAGTTTTTAGCTTAAACTTAGCTTTTTTTAGTATAAATATTTTAGAACATTTTTGTAGTCATTTTTTTTAAAGATTTTTAAATTTATTTGTTATAGAAAAAAATTAATAATTCTTTAATAGCTTAAGAAATAAAAAAAAAGCTAAGTAAACAGCACCTGCTCTCTCCTCTCTATCACCTAGTTAAGTTTGCTTTTTCGCGTTTTAGTGTGCGTGAGCTGTCTTTCGGTAGTTAGAGGAGAGGGGCACCATCATGGCGTTGATCATTAGCGTAGATGGTGTTATTATTTGCACGTTTTGTGTGAAATGCACTCGCTCTCTCCCCAATCCCATTTTCCTAGCCAACCTCCGTCTCTTTCTGCGAATGCGTTTGCTCGATCAACATGAATAGATTATAGGCTATGGGCCATAAGGCCCGGCCTTAACCATTTGCCGTGCCTTTTGCCAATGGCTTAGAATAAATGAATCTTCGTTAAAGTTTGCAGCTGGCAATTAAAACGGAAAACAAACTTTCTTCCACATTTACTGCGGTTGCTGTGGGTGGAGATCGCAGTAACCTCAAGTAACTGGCATTAAAAGATCTCCTATTCTGAAGGCCTTAATTAAGTTGTGACCCATTTGCGCATGCGTTCTTTTTTTTTAATAATTTAACAGAGATAGATAATAAGTAGTATTAAAAATTGAAAACCTCTCTTTTAATTAATAATATAATAATACTTTTAGGTATTTTACACTCCATTCTTATTAAATAATTCTCAGCATTCTGAATGATATTTTTTTTTACTAGCCTAAGAACATTTTCCCTCCACCCTAATCCTGTGGGAAATGCGCTTCATTTGGCTCATTTCCATATCTCCAAGATCTCCCATATCTCTGACTTCCTCTAATCTAAAATTCCGAGTTCCCCACCTGGTGACCCTCACCTTCCGTTTCTCCGGCAATTGACCCCCGATGTCAGTGGCTCATCAAATCTTCACAGAATAGGATACAAAAAATGAGATCCTGCTCCCACAAATATCTCCGGAGCCCTAAACAAGGTGCACTGAACTCATCAGCAACCAACAAAATGGTATTCATATGCTAAAGATCCCAGTGCTCTACTTCCTTGCAGGCGCATGAGATCAAATTACCAAAAACAAAAAGAAAAATCAAAATCAAAGCAGGAAAAAGAACCTGTTC